TATGGAGCTTTTACTTGATCAATTTTAAGTTACTTTAGCAGGATTGGAAAGTGTGTCGTCAAGTGTCTCCCACCTTCCCGCTGCTGGACCCCTGCACTGAACTCCCCTCCACATCATCCTTACCCAGATATATAATTGCAAGTGCCATCAAATAAAAACATGCCACATGCTCACTGTCATCACTAATCTACGGGGAGGGAAACCTTGCGGACTAGCACCCTTGCAAGTACCAGATGCTCAGGGGATTCCAGCTTTCCTATGACCAATCCCTACAAAAGCAGACACCAAAGCAGCCTCCCCACCAGACCGCTCCACAACGCGGGTAACATGGCAAAACCCTGCAAGGACGGGCGTTTTATATTGCTGCAGCTCTGAGCCAACTCCCTTGCTCATCCCAGATTTTCTCTGGCCAACCAGACCCCTTAACTCTCCAACCTGCAGGCCTTGCAGCCCTACCTGCGCTGTCTCCCAGGTGGAAGAAGTCCTCATCCCGAGACTAATAGCCCTGTCCTGTCTCACTAGGGTATGTGAGCATATAGATGGGGAAGGGACTGGATACCAAGAAGAGCCCCACACCCATAGAAGAGCTCGATTTAAATGAGAAGCGGTCTCAAAGCATGCATGCTAGGCTTGAAAGCTCTGACGGGTCTCCTCTGCGCGTGGTGCATGACAAAAATATGCTTCAAGTTGCCTCTCAGTCTCCGTGGATGCAAAGCCCTCTGCAGCCAAGGGCAATGCAATGCCCCGAGCGCACGAAGGAGCCCTGGTGAGATATAACGCTGTTATATAAATCTGTGCGGATGGGTGTAACTGAAACCTGGCTTCAGTAACTCCCACGCTGCCAGTTTGTCTAGCTGCTCTTGTTGCACTCGACTCACCCGAGCCTCGGGGCCGGGACAACCCTGCTTCTGCCTCTCTCCACGGCTCAGGCTGAATGAAGCATCTCCGCTCCAGCTTGAAGTCAAGGGGCCTCCGAAGTCCTACTCGGGTGCTTCAAGTGATGCATGCGCTGAAGGGCCATAAGCAGGAGGGCCTCAATGAAAGGCTGCTTTTTTGTGGTTGTGCTTACTGGGAGCTGACAGCTGTGTGCTTCGGGATTGCAGCTCCCCGCGCAAAATCACAGAGGGATTTCTACAGCATGCGGCACGGAAGGGGCTCGGGATGGTCTGGAAACTGCACCGGTCCCCCCGCCAGGTTGCTGAGCCTCCTAAATCCTTACAGTTACCTTCATATACTCCTCCACCCAGTTGTTCTCAAGATGAGATTCATCAGAGAGGCAGGGCCTATGGTCTGAGATGTTGGGGAGTGAGCTCTTCAGAGCTTCCTCGCTGACCAAGTCAGCCCTCCAAACCTGGATAGCAAGGATAGAGCCCAGCCCTTTGTTCCTGAGATGACCCCGAAAATATTCCCATAGTTTCCACTGAGCTGCATTGACTGACCTCATGCCACACCTTTCCAGACACCCCGGGCCTTAGCAATCTCCATTCCTCATTAGCTTTGGCTCATAAGTCACAAACAACTCCCCCAAAAAGAACAATCGAAGCCCAAAGTGCAGCATCCTTGCTTGGTGACTCCATCTAAGCCATGTGTTACCTACCAGAAAGGATTTCAGATTTTCTCTTCCTTTTTTCCCCATCCTATCGAGAGTTGGTTGCTGCAGTCACCGAGGGCTATAATTAATGCAACCTCCTTTCACATCCTCCCTGCTGCTTGTTGTGACTATTTAAGAGCCCGCTGCTGAAGCGGCATGAAAACAATATCCGAAGCTGCATTTTTTGGTTTAAATAAAACAGCGCCTCTCCGTGATCCCTAAACAAGAGTCGGTCTGAAATTGGTGTCAGCAACAAATCCTTTTATTTCCCCTTTGCTGAGCAGACAGCATTTAAAACGGAGAACCGCGGGGAAAGCCACAGCAAACCAGTCCTCAAAGCATCTATAATTCTTCCTTCCTTTTGTCAGAACGGCGTTTCCTCGCTTCGTTGTTGTGATCATTGCGGTGACACCATCACGGACCAGAGCCCTGTTGTGCCGGATGATGGGCAAATGCAGGACAAAAAAGAAAAGCCCTTTGTGGAAAGCTCAGTTGGAATAATTGATGGTACCATTAAAGGAGCCCTTGGTCTTTCTTTATGGCTTTGGGTTTTGTTCTTGAGAGCTGGAAGTGAGGGTTTCAAGTGGCAATTTGGAGGTGGGGGTCCCTTTGGTTACATGCCCATGGATGCAGGGGAATGAACTTGAAGCCTAGGAAGCCCCATTTCTGTCCCAGGTTCTTCTACAGACCCGTTGGCGCTGCGGGGAAAGGAGTGCATGAGAAGCATTTGCAGGAGAAGCAAAATACCCGCGGTATTTTGAAGCATCAGCTGCCGAGCAGGGATCTGTGGCAGCGTCCCCCGTTCTGAAAAGGCCACAGCATCCTAGGCAAGCTCTCTGATCCTAGCTATTCAGACCGCTCTCTGGGCACACCTATGATGCAGGCTCAGCCTCGCTTCACATCGGAGCAGATGGCTACCATGCACCCACAACTCTATTTAATGACTAATTTTCTGCCGTCATGCGGCTGGTGGAGGAACCCTTATGAAACAGGCCTGGCCGGTTATAAAACTTTCTGACGAGTTGCAATGGAAGCGCTTCATCGGTAGATGGTGCTGATGCATCACCTTTAATGACAACTCCGCTCTCAGGGTGTGGGGAATAAACCCTGCTCCTCCCAAGAGCAGAGACGGGTATAGCTGTGAGCTGCGCCTCTGGCTGTGGGCTGAGGAGGACCTTGTGAACTCAACCTCTGCCTGCCTCTTTAAGTTGATTTCTAAGTGCAAAAGTTAGTTTTGCACTTTGAACTCTCCCTGTGCCTGAAGAAGGGTGTTTGTACCCAAAAGCTTGCAAAGAACCATTTTTCCAACCAATAAAAGAGATTACATCTATGCAAAGAGCCTTGCCTCCCTATGCCCTTAGACTTAGGCAGACGCGCCTATGTCCTTAGACCTATGTCCTTAGGCTACAACCAACACCCCCAAAAGTTAGAATTTAGCTGGTTTTGTTTTAAAAGGGATGGAGAATCCACAGGTGGCTTTAGTCAGGGATCCAGGCCCAGAGCTGGGCAGCAGCATCTCTGCACCATCGCAGCATCCTTCTGTGGTCTGGGACAAGTCATCTGACTCTGTACGCTGGATGCTCCCAGTATTAAACTTACGTCTGCCCTAGGATGATGGGGTCGTTAAGGCTACAGGAAGGAGGGTGGCATTGCTCTCCCTGCATGGGAACTCAGAGAAGGGTGTCCCAGTAGCTCTGTGGGGGTATGTTTCTTCTGCCTTGGCTCCTTGGGACATCCTTCGGGCAGCACTGATGGGATTGCTCCCGTGCCACTTGCACTGCAGGATGCCCAGATGCCATGCTGTGCTCGGTGCTGCATATACATGCAGTACTGCATGGTGCCCCCCTACAGAGCCAGCAATCAAACCAAATGGGTAAAGTGTATGGGGGGAGACAGTGCATGGGGGGAGTGATTTGTCCCAGGTGGGAGCCAGAGCTGGAACTCGAGCCAGGAGCCCATCAGCCATGCAATGGGCCAGGCTGATCCCACACAGTGATGAGCACTGAGCTTGGAAAATGCTACCTGCTCCATATGAGTGTGAGAAGCAGGTGGGGCAAGGCTTGCAATGGGCAATAAAAGGCACCTGTCTCTGCAGCATGCAAGCAGTTTTATTGGGATGCAGTCATCAAAATTGCATTTCCAGGACTATTCTTGTTCTGCAGATGCTGTTTCCTGTGCTCTGTCCAGCTCTTGTAAAATTGTAGGAAGTACAGATGTGGCCTGCACTAACTCCAGCAAAGTTATTCTTTATCCTCCTTCTTTTTCTTCTTGTTGCCCTGGTGCAATAAAGAGAAGAAACACAAACAGGAGGGTATGTGTGTGTCTGGGCAGGGGCTGGGCCCCAGGAGAGCTGATGGGTGCTCTGGTCTCTCACCCTACTGGCATTTGCACTGACAGGATCACAGGCCAGCCAAGACCTCAGGGGGTCACATCATGTCCGTCCGTCTGCTCAAGGCAGGCTCTGCCCTGCCTAACCCATCCCAGCAAAGTGTCTGTATACCCTGCTCTTAAACTCCCAGAGATGGAGATTTCACAGCCTCTCTAGTTGACTTTTTCCAATGTTCAACCATCCTCAGAGAAATCTTCTTCCTAACCTCTTGCCTACATCCCCCCTGCTGCAATTTAAGACTGATGTTCCTAATCCTGTCCCCTGTGGCCATGGAGAATGGTCTGCCTCCCTCTTCTTTGCAACCACCCTCCAGGGATTTGAGGACTGTTATCCAATCCTTCTCCAGAATAAACTACCCCACTTCTTCCCAGTGCCTCCAGCTGGGGCCAGCAGGTCATGCTGGCTGATGGCAGAGCTGGATTTGTCTGTCCCGTGAGAGCTGCACGCCCCTGCATGTACAGCCATGAGGTCTCCGTGGGAGCTGTGTAGACAGGTCTGAGGGCAGTAGCCCCTAGTGCAAAGGGGTTTGTCCTAACACCACAAACACAGACCCTGCCACACACTCACCTCTTCAGAGTCGCTGTCAGAGCTGCTGCTGCTGCTGTCGCCGGCGTCCCCCTCTCCCTAAGGGGCAAGAGGAAGGATTTGTTATCATATGGGGGGGACACAACCCTGCTGCAGCCTCAGCATCCCCCCGCGTGCTGCCTGGCCTCTGCAGACAGGACCGGGGGGGAAGGATCATGCGCTCCTCTCTGGCCGTGTCTCTGGCTTGCCCCAGCATTCGTTCTCCTGCCCACCGTGCCCCTGAAGCGACCCTGGTCACAAAGGATGTTGCCTCTGGTAGACCAACCCTGACGCCCACCTCGCAGCTGGGCAGACCCCAGAGCCCGGCGATCGCACGGGGAGCAGGGCAACGTCTCACCTTGTTCTCCTTCTTCTTCTTCTTTTTCTTCTCTTTCTTCTCTTTTTCCTCCTTCCCCTTGTCCTTCTCCTTGTCTTTGTCCTTCTCCTTCTCCTTCTCCTTGATCTTCTCCTTCTCCTTGTCTTTGTCCTTGTCCTTGTCCTCGTCTCTCCCAAACCCTACGGGTGAGAACGAGGAGGAAGGTCAGTTTGCTCCAAGCTCCATCCTGCTCGGCACAAAAACGAAGGGTTATGCACCGGTGCATGAGGTGGGAAGGACAGGATGTGCATGGGGAGCAGTCCCATGCTGCCTGGCCCCGGAGGAGACCCCTGAGCCCGGCGGGGAATCGTGCCCATGGCACGGTGCAGGATGGTACTGAAGCCTTTCCCCCTGCTCCCTTACATGCAGTATATAGGGCACGAGCATGGCGGGTGGGGAGTAGGAAGGAGGGCAGCAGTGAGGAGCTGAGCAGGGAGTGGGCCTTTCCCTGATGGTGGTGGATGGGATGACGGCAGCAGGATGGATCCCGAGCTGGGGCTCCTGCAGCTTTCCAGACCCGGATGGAAAGACTCGACTTCCCCAATGCCCCCAGTTCAACTGAGCCATGGTTTCCACCCCTGGCACCAAGCCACTCACACTTCATGATCGTAGACATCTCGCAGCAGCTGCCCGGCTCCCTCCGAAAGGCCGAGTATCTAGAGAAGAGAGAAGCCAGGCAAGGGGCAGCGATAAGAGAGAAGCAGACCGTTGAATGGGAGCCCTTCCCTGTGTAAAAGGTTGTCTCAGGCTCATGATTCCCCCTCCGGCTTGGCTTCAGCCCTCGGGGCACAGATGCACCCCGCACGCTGGGACACCTTTAGAAATGGCTGGTTTGGGAGGTGAACGGTGCAGCAGGGCAGGGGAAGGAAGAAAAATGTTGTCCTTCCCACCTCTTCTTGTCCTGTCCTGCCTTCCTACAGAGCCCAGCCCGGCCGGAGAAGCAGCAAAGAATAGGCAAGTCAGAGAGAGAGCGGGAGGGTTCGGCAGAAACAAACATGCCCGAGCCCGGGGCCTCATCATGAAAAAAGGACTATTGGGAGGGGAAGAAAGATAAAGAGGGTGGAGATGCTAAGGGATCAACTGTTCCCTGGCCTTAGACACACACCAAGTATTGCAAACAACTCAGGGCAATTCTGCCCATGACCTCCTCTAGCAGATAAAGATGTACCAGTCGCTGAACAAGTCAATCAACGGATGGCTGCCTAAATGGAAGAGATCCTGATTAAAGTTGTTATTAAAAACCAGCTGCTGAAAGCCAAAAGCAAGTATGAACAAAAACAAGGGAAATATTTAGATCTAATGCACCTAATCATTAGGAAGTATTTAAAGGGGAAAGCAGCAATAATAAAAAAAAAATAGCATAGGAAAAAAAAATAGGGAAGCTGACAGCAATGAATGCAAACACCCAGTTAAGAACTGAAGACAATAAGGGAAGTGAAAGGCATCGATGACACATGTATAGCCAGTAGGGTTTTCAGGACAAGAAGAGAGGATGCTCTAATGAAAGATGAAATCCTAGCAATGCTATAGGTGTGTGTGCCATGAGACAAGAATGTAAGAACTGTCATTTGTAATGCAGAAAGGGTAGGAGCATTCAATAAACATTTCTGCGTATGGAAAGAAGTAGGATCATGTGTTCCTCTGATACAGTGAAAATTAAATACGTCCTATTCCATCTGTAACAAGAGGATGAAAGTTAAGCACTTCAAAACCTGTGGAGTCATATCATTTCGACCCAGGAGTCTTACAAAAACTGGCTGAGCTGCGTTCAGGATGAATAATGTTGCTTTCTAACAAATCCTCGAAGTTGGGGGAAATTGCAGAGGACTGGGGAATAGCATGCGCTGGGCCTATATTTTAAAGGGATGAACACTGCTGGATTAATACTGATTAGTTAAAGGCAAGAATTTAATAATGATTTAAGGAGCAATCTAAGGTTGTACATGTGCAGGAGGGAGCATCCGTAGATGCATCTCACAGGGTGCGTCTACACTTGCATTTATGTCCCATTAAATTTATTGCACAGTAAATTACTGTGCAGTAAGTGGAAACAGGCCGGCGTCTACACATGCAGGCGTTAAGGCGCATTGACGCTGTGCATGGTCTGACATGGGACTAAAGTTAGTCCCGAGTAAGTCCACGCACACACTGTTACAGCGCCGTAAGGCGTCTGCATGTGTGTTGATGCAGGTATCAAATTTATGCCCAAATTGACCTAAGTCACCATAGTTACTGCACAGTACGGGCATGCACGTGTAGATGCGCACCCATGCTGTGCAGTATTTTAGGATACTGCGCAGTAAATGTGCATGTGTAGATGCACCCACTGGGACCAGAAGGGTCTTCTTGCACTTAGAAACCTATTGAGTTGGGCCCGTGTTAAGAGAGGGACATGAGCTCCTATCCTCACAGACTCAGACCACAAGGCTTGTGGCTACCGTGCCTTTGACACGGACTATCGAAACCAGCCTACGTGCTTGAGGTGGAGGCTGAAGTGAAAGCAGTTGCCCTTCTGTCACCCCTGTCCAGACCCAGCCCGGGAGATCTGGTTTGGCCTGTTCTGCTCAGAGCTCACTCTCAGCCTCACCCAGCCCAGTTTCTGCAAGGTAATTTTGGCCAAGCTGCAGCCACCTTCCCAACACTTGGCTTCCCCACAGCGCAGGTAGCAAGCAGCAATAAGCGTGGTGATTTCCGTCGCTTGTCTTGACAAATTGCAGCTTTCCCTGGAGGCTGAGCGAATCTAAGTGGAAGGTCACGACAAAATGCATACATAGAGCAAAGCGTGTGCATTTACATATTCATTGCCCATGCAAATAAGCAGAGATCTACAATTTACTTATATCCTACAGGCACAAAGAACTTCCAAGGTATAAAATTTCCTGGAGATGGAAAATCTCCATAAAGTCCCCAAATGTCCATTATTCCCCTTCAGAAAAACATAAGGGGGAGACAGCTTTTTTCTGAAAGGTTTTTATGGTTTCTACCCCAGTCTCTCATCTCTCTAACACTGATCCCTGCAGAAGTCCTGCCCAGGGGGTAACTCATGTCCCACCCATAACTTCTCCCCACTTGGCGTAGTTCACGCAGGATATAAAGCGAGAATGCCTAGTATTGGCAATCCTATGAAATGGATTTCCACCCAGCTCCGAGATGTGCCCCTGCCTCTCAAAGCGCTTCCTGCATTTCTCCATTGGGCAAAGCATCCACCCAACGCATGAGCCAACCACCCGAAAGAGCGAGTCGGAGAGGAAAGCAACCTTACCTGCAAGGCAGAAAGGCAAGCGGCCTCCTCCGTTCTTCTTGGCAGCGGGCTCTGCCGTTCCTGTCTGATACTGGCTCCTCCCAAGTTCTGCTTCCAAACCAGAATAACGAGCTGCGCTGTCCTCCACAGATAATACCCAGTACTGGAGAGCACAAGCAACTGTCCCACGCATGCTGTAACTTGCCCCAGGGTGCTCGAAGGCATCGCCCACTGCTAACGCTGACTCCTTGCAGAAGAACTTCTCACCCAGGGCTGCCGTGCAGGCTTGCAGATACCCACCCTCCGGCTGCTCAGGGCTCCAGCCACGCCGAGCACCAGGGGAGCCGTCCTGCCGAATGCAGACGAAGTCGGGATGGACTCGCATTGCTCCACCTGATAAAGCCGTCCTAGGCTCAGGGCCCCGCT